CACTATTCCTCTCACTCTCTGGTCATCCCCTTTACTGTGTCCGCAGTCTCTGGTCATCCCATGTACTGTGTCCGCAGTCTTGTTCTCCTGTCATCTCCCTGTACTGTGTCCGCAGTCTCTGGACATCTCCTGTACTTGGTCCGCATCTCTCTGTGTCCGCAGTCTCTGGCCATCTCCTGTACTGTGTCCGCAGTCTCTGTCATCTGTACTGTGTCCGCAGTCTCTGGTCATCTCCTGTACTGTGTCCGCAGTCTCTGGTCATCTCCTGTACTGTGTCCGCAGTCTCTGGTCATCTCCTGTACTATGTCCGCAGTCTCTGGTCATCTCCTGTACTGTGTCCGCATTTGTTCATAGTTTTTTTTTTAAACTATAGTCCGGCACTCCAACGGTCTGAGGGACAGTGAACTGGCCCCCAGTTTAAAAAGTTGAGGACCCCTGGCCTAAACCATTGAAACCTGTTATGGCTCATTCTTTGAAAATCTGGGACTCATGTAAGTATTCGGCGGGACTACTCTCCCCACATTTACCTCTTCTACAGTTATTCAACTGTCCGCTTTTTCCCCCGGGGAATTCTGATGAGATGGCATTTCTTTGGTAAATAATCCATTGCTTTACATCTGATCACTCATTGGTCGGGGTCTGCATACATTCGCGCAACTTCGAGAGTCATGCTATTCCTCCCTCAGAGATATTTCCATATTTGGAAATATGTCATTTTGTTGCACCCTTGATTCGCAGACGGGATTCCCCCCGAACTTTATCTGGTTTTGAATCGCTTTGTAAGGCGTCGACTTCCACTAAAGGTGCCCTCTCTCATGTTTATTTATCAATCCAGAATCATATGGCTGAACCTTTACCTACCAATTGCGTACAATGGATTGTGTGGAGCTTCAGATGGAAATCTGCTGAGGATTGGGGGCCTATGTGACAAGCGGTTTCTCGATGCTCTCGGAATATACCGGCGTTAGAGAATTCCTTTAAGGTGATCTCGGGATGGTATTTTACCCCATCTCGATTAGCTAAATTTATACCAGATCATGACTCGCAGTGTTTTCATGGCTGTTCTCTAGAGGGTACGATGCTCCATATTTGGTGGACCTGTCCAGTGGCCCACCGATTATGGACTAGGGTTTACAATCTCATATATTCAGTTACGTCTATTAATCTAAAAAAAGACCCTATTGAAGCGTTGCTTTTTAAGCCACTCCATGGCCTACCTCGTTGACCCTCTCGCTTGTCAACTTTTGTTTTGTTTATGGCCACTAAGCAGACTATTGCCAGCTCTTGGAAGTCCCCCACTTTACAATTTGAGGAGGTCAGGTCTAGGATCCAAGGCGTCTTTATTAATGAAAAATTGATGGCAGTTTTGGAGCATAATCATGATAGGTTTCTTTCAGCTTGGCAACCTTGGGTGGACTACCACCCAATTTCTCCTTTTAACACGAAGCTTACTAATCTTTGATGTGTTGGGATTTTCCCCTTCAATCCCCCTATGTGGTGGGGGTCGTGTCTCCCGGCCCTCCCGTCAGACAAACTTCTTTTCTTTTGCTGGTCTGTTTCTTTCTTCCCTTTGTTCTTTTCCTCCATTTTTTTTCCTGTCTTTTCTGGAGTGGGGGGGGTCTGGGGTTCCTGAATCCTTGGTCCTCTTTGGATTTTCTCTCTCACTTTTTTTTTTTCTTTTCTTCCTTCTTCCACATGGTTTGTTCCAAATAGACCAATTGCTTGTCATTTGTTGTTGTTATCTGATAGTTCTATGATTCTCAGGGGAAAATATTTCTTCAAGAGGACGAGGCTCTCTCTCTGTGTTTTTGATGCTTTTCTCGAAGGTATCTTATGTATTTTATAACGTGATTGTGGGCTTCGTAGCCCCCTGTCTTTATAATGTGTCATCTGGATCCCTTGTGTGGGCCTTATATGTCTATTCCTGTGTTTCTGTGTGGTGTTTCCTTGTCCTCTGTTGTCCAACATGGTTTTGAATAATTTCTTTTAAAAATTGATAGGGTTTATTATTAATGATGGATTTTTCCTTCCTTTTTTTTAACGGTTCTTTTCCTTCCCCAATTTGGGTTTTTTTTCCCCTTCATTTTTTTTTCCCTTTTTTCCTTTCCTCCTTTTTTTCCCTTCCCGTTTTTCCCCTTTGGGTTCTGGGTTTATCCTTGTCTCTTTGTTTTTTTTTTTTTTTCCTTTCCCTGGTTTGGTTCCCTTTTGTTTCTCTGTGTCTAGTTGTTGTTTTTTGTTCTTTGATTTTTCTTTAATTTTTGTTTTTTCTTGTGTTTTGTTATTTCTCGTTAGTGTAACTGATCGTATGGCTCTTTGTGAGCCTTCTCTTTGTTCTGGTTTTGTTATACTTTTTGTTTTGTTTTTTTGTTCTTATGGTCTCATCATTTACAATTAATTTTAATTTTGTCTTGTGTTTTGTTGTGCGGTTTGGTCTGTGTTTTGTTTCGTTTATTGTCTCTGCTATGTTGGTTCTTGTTGTATTATTTTTGCTTGTCTGTTTCCTTAGTGAATGTATCTGTTTTATTTTTTTAATTTTTTTATTTGTCTTTGTTGCTTGCGCGATTATTTGATCGCTTGCTGTAATAGCTTGTCTAATTTTTCTTCTTCTTTCATATTTACTTAGATCCTGTATTATTGTTTTATTTTGTTTAGATCACTCGGTGTTTAACTAGTTTTAATAGATTATTTTTGTTGTTTTGATTGTTTTTTATACTATTCTTTATATTTTTCTTTTTTTTTTTTACGTTTAAGTTCGTCTTTTTTATTTTTTTTTTTCTTCTTGTGTCACTCGTAGTTTATTTTTTTGATGTTTTCGTGTTTTTTTTTGTTTTTTCTTTGTTTTTATTTTTCGTTTGTTGTATTCTTTTTGTTGTTTTTTTTAGTAGTCTTTCTGTTTTTGTAGTGTTTTCTTGTTATTTTTATTTTTTTTTTGCGTTGTATTTCTATTTGTCGTTTTTTGTATTTTTTCTTTTATTTGTTTCATTTTTTTTTTTTTGTTGTCTGGTTTGTTCTTGTTACCTTTTTTATTTTCTTGCGTTTATTGTTTTAGTTTTTGTGTTTGTTTTTTTTTGATTTCTGTCTCTTGTTATTTCTGTCTTTTTTTGTGTCGTTCCTATTTATATTTTCATCTTTTTGTTTATTAGCTTTTGTTATTACTTTTTATGATTTTTTTGTTTGTCGGGTGCTTCTCTTTGCGCTTGTTTAGTATTTTTTTTTTTGTTGATTTTTGATCTTGGTTTTTTAGGTTTATTGCCTTTTTTTTTGTGTTTATTGCTTTTTTTATTGCATTTATTTTTTGCTTGTTCGCTATAGGTGTGTACTGTTTTTCTGCGTTTAGTCTCGTTTCTTATGTCTCTCTATTTTCTCCCCTGATTAGTTCCTCTCGTTCCCTATTATTATTTATCTTTTTGTTTTTCCCTATTGTTTCGAATGTTTTATTTTATATTTTGATTCTTTTTATTTCCTTTTTTTTTATGTCTGTTTTTTATTATTTTTTTTTGTAGTTTCTTTTTCCCTTGTTCCATTTCCCCCCTTTTTTAAAAACCAATTTTGCTTTTTTGGGCGACTATTTTCCCCCCAATTGTTTTCCTTCCCCAACATTGGGCACAAATTTCCCCCCACCCCCGACCCAAAAATTTTCCCCTGACACCAAGGGGGCACTTTCCCACTAACCTTGGGACTAGTCCTCCTTGAAAATTTTCCCATTCCCTTCCCATATGGAATCCCACCCCGGGTTCCCTTTTTTTGTCCGCTTCCTATCCCACTGCCCTCTTAAACCTTCCCCCTTAATCAGTTTTGGCATTCCTTTGTCCGCAGCTCTGCTCCCTGTACTTTCCGATCTCCGTTTCCCCTGAGGTGTCGATCCCTCTTTTATGTTGGCCTGTCTTCCTTCTTGTCGCCCTTTTGGCATCTCCGTACCTTTTTTCTATTTTTTTTACATATTGGCAAATTCTGGGGCTTAACGGCCCCCTTTTTAAAATTAGGTTCCCCCTTGAAACTCGTTCTCCCCAACTTTTGTCATGAGTTGTGGTTTTTTTTATTTTTTCGTGCATTATTAGATTTATTGTTGCTATTTATGTTATCTATCTTTTTTTTTTTTATTTATTTTTGTTTTGTATATTGGCTTTTGTAGCGTGAGGCGTTTTTAGATATCTCTTTTCTCTTGTCTTTTTTTGTTTTTATTTTTATATTCTTTTTTTCTCCTGTGTTTTTTGTTCTTTATCCTCCTTGTTGCTTTAGTGTACTTTTGTTTCACCTTATTCTTCATTTTTTTTTTTTATTGTTCTTTGTTTTATTATTTGTTTTTCATACTTCTCTTCTTTTTTTTTTTTTTTTTTGTTTATTTCTATTTTTTTTTCTTTCTTTTTGATCAATTCACTTTTATATTGTGTGTTTCTGTTTTGTTTGCTTTTTTTCTCTTTTTCGTTTTAGGTTTTATTCATTTTTCGTTGTTTTCTTTTTTTTTGAATTTTTGATTATTTGTCATTCTCTTGCGTGTGCGTTTTTGTATCGCTCCTTATTTTTGTGTTTTTCCTTTTCTTTCTCTCTATTGGGGATGGGCCCTTGCCCTTGGATTTCCCTTTTTTCTTTTCCAATTTTAATAAAATGTGGGGGGAATTTTGGGGCATAAATTTTGGGTTTTTTCCCGGATTGTTTAAATTCCAAACTTTTTATTGTGTTTGGGGTTTTTCCCCTATTGGTTCGTTCCCTTGGCCTGAAAATTTTTTTGTTTTCTTTCCTTTTTCCCCCTTTTTTTTTATTTGGGGTTTTCCTTTTAAATTTTTTTATTATTTATTCCTTTTAAGGGAATACTTGGGGTTTGGTTTAAATCGTTTGGAAAAAAAGGAGTTTTGGTTTGATTTTTTGGTTGGATTTTTTTAAATTAAACCCCAAAAGTTTTTGTTTTTGGTTTCCCTTTTTTGGGTTTTTGCCCGAAAATTTTTCTTTTTAAAAATTTCTTTTTTCTTCCTTTTTTCTTTTTAAAAAGTTTTAACATTTTTGGATTTTTACTTTTAAATTTTTGGGAATGGAATTTTTTGGTAGTTTTAAAACTTCGGGCCAGGGTTTGGTTTCAAAAAGGGTTTTTCCTGGTTTTTTCCAAGGATATAAACCTTAAATTTTGGGCCCAAATTTGTACTTTTAAAAAATCGGGTTGAAACCTTTTTAAAAAATTTCTTTGTTTTCCTTTTTATTAAGTCTTTTTCTTCTTCCACTCCCCTAAGTTTAAAAAATTTTCCCGGGTATTGAGATTTTTAGGGGGAAATTTTTGGTGGTATCTTAGTCTTTCAGTTCTTTGGGCCTGGTCCTTTGGTCCTTCCTTTTTAAAATT